GGTTCTTTCCTACCTCTGCTCTTACTGCCTGACCAATATTTATCTGGTATTTCCCTTGTTGCTAAGATACCGTGAGCCTGTTGGAACAAGGAATGTATTTATTTACATGGCCTGGCCTGGGGAGCATTCCCAATTTCCCATTTAAAAAAAAAAAAGGCTGAGGTTTAAAGTTATTTTTGAAAGCATTTGCATTTTTTTGTCAGACTGAAAGAGAACAATGAGCGAGAGCTGAGGAGATTTGGCTTCATCCAGGGCTGGGGGCCAGATCCGGAGCACCTCTTGGAGGGCTTTTTGTGGTGTGGGTTTTATTTTTTTTAAGAGGTCTTGGAAGAGTAACTGATACTATTTTTGAGTAAACTATTTGGATTGTTTCTTATTGCTGGCACGTGGCTCTGGAGAGTAAGAAACCTGCGAGCACAGCAGAGAGAAACACTGGAATTTGGGAAGGTCTGAACACTGTATGTTGTGTTTCTTAGGACAAAAATGTGATTTTTATAGTGTTTGGGCTTCTTGTGTGGACTTACACAGGGGCTGATTGAACCCGAAACCCTGCGTTGAGACCTGCCCAGTGCCCCCTCAAGGGCCCAGTGTCAGGACATCACGTCTGGGGGGGGTGTCCCAGCTGCACCCCCAGTGCACTCTGCTCTCGCTTGCCAATTGTCGGTCCCTTCAGCCCTGCCTCCCGGGCAGCCGCTTTGCCTGTGATCAGGGTGTTCCTACGGGCTTCTCCGTCCTTAGGTGAGAATGCCGTGACTCTGGGAAAGCCTTGGACTGCTGCCCCGTCACCACAGGCTGCCTGAGCTCACGTAGGACAGGGAGCGCTAAGCAGATGTGCCGTAATTCCCGTCTGTGCCACACAGGGTGGCCTCAGTCACGGAGCAGCGGGTTATTTCCTAGGCTGTTCCCTTCCCCTAGTCCCGTAAGAAGCTATAAAACGTGCAGCTCATAAGTCAACCCCTGAGGATGCGGCACCGAGTGCCAGTGCTGCTGCAGCTGGGAAAACAGTGTTTTCTGTTGATTGTTTTAATCGTTCCATTAAAAATCGTTACCTTATTGGTTATTTACTTTACGTTATTTGATTATTTATGCACGTAAAAACATTCTGAGGAACGCTGAAATGCTCTGCAGTGTCATATTATGTCCTCTTAGAGTGTTTCAGGTGTCTTTTTTTTCCTCCCTCTCTCATTCTGAACTGATTCTAGAAAACCAAAATACTCCCAGCTCGCTCTCTCAGTGTCAGAATAGTTTCAGGCTCGGTCTGAGTGCTGGCTTCCCTGGGAAGTGCGTCACACGTAGCCATTCAAAGGGGAAAAGTTATCCCTATGGGCCTGAAAGCCAGCCTGCTTCCAGGGCGCCCGATCACGTCCTGTTACAGCTGCCAGGGGGTCAGAGACGGTGACGGCAGACGGGACCACGAACACCTTTAAGTAGGTTCTGTGGGTGACGTGCACGAGTGCTGGCTTTCTGCTCGAGCTGGCAGTGCTGTAAACACACGCACTCTGGGGGCATTTACATTAAATTCACATTTATTCAGCTGCTTTCAGAACAGTCCAGAGGCAGAATTTGGATGGGGAGGGTGCCTGCAGTGGGGTAGGTGTGCGGTTGTGTTGCTAGGTAGCTCGTTGGTGTTGCCTTAGCACCAAGTATTAATAGACTTGTGAAGGCCACGACTGTTATTTTGGTGCGATTAATTAATTTCACAGCATGAGAGTTTAAAAAAAAAAGAAATAGCAAAGCTCCTAAGAGGTTGTCAGGCGTGTGGAGGCAGGATTTCTGCTTGATCAAACGCAGGACAGCCGAAAATACCGTTATGGAGCTTTTGTATGAGCGCATGTCAAGGACACATGCTGCTCTGTCCTCTTACCCCATGGTCCACTTCCTCCCCCTCTGTGAGCTGCTGCTGCCGTTGCTGGGCTCATCCTCCTGCGCTCGGGGCTGTGGAAGCAGGTGGGATTCTTGCCGTGAGATCCTGCAGGGAGGGGAAGAGAAGGAGCGAGCAGCAAAGGCAGGAGCAGGGGTCCCGTAAACCCTGGTGCATGCAGGCAGGAGGACTCGTGTTCTGGGTGCCTTTGGCCGAGGTTGGATGCTCAGCAGGCTGTGCTGGCTTTTCCAGCTCTTCCCACCATCCCGGGGAAACTGTGAGAGGGCGGGCTACTCTGGGGCCACGTTGGAGGAGCCACCCAGATAGCAAAGTGCAGTTGTGACCTTCTGAGTGGCACCACTTAAAGGATAAACTGGAATAAAAATCGATGGGAAACAAGGCGTTTCCTGAACGCAAAGCTTTTTGTCCTGCGGGCCTGAAGTTGAGAGACTGTGTCTACTTAGAAAAGTAAGTTTAGCTGCACCGTTTAGTCATCTTCTACAGAAACTCGTCAGTGAGACTCAAAAGAACAGTTTTTAAAGGAATTCGACAGATTTGTGCTATCACCCCGCAGCAGCCGGGCTCCGGGCTTTTACGGAGATGTCGAAGCGTTGTCAGCGCTCTCCTGAGTCACGCTGGCGCGCGGAAGCACCGCGCTCCTGCCGACACGCTTTTTTGTGGTGTCTCTGCTGGGAGTTCACGCTGGGATAGTCTCTGCCCGTCGCTTGTGGAAGCAAACTAACGCCTGGTTGTCGTTGTCCCTCAGCTACGCCATCGCCGACAACTCCTACCGCTCCCTGCGCACGGAGAGGAAAGACCAGTGTATTCTGATCTCTGGCGAGAGCGGGGCTGGCAAGACGGAGGCCACCAAGAAGATCCTGCAGTACTACGCCGTGACCTGTCCCGCCAGCCAGCAGGTCGAAACCGTGAAGGACCGCCTGTTACAGTCCAACCCCGTCCTGGAGGTAACTAGAGCCTCGGCGCCGGGTCACGCCAGCGGCACTCGCGTTTTCCGGCTGAGGGAGTGGGGGCGGCTGGACCCCACGGGCACCACTCGGCTGCCTGCGGGTAGTGTGTGCTGGGGACGCTGCTTCCCGGCATGCGGGCAGAGGGCTGGCGCTGCGCACAGGGGAATCCCGCTCTGCTCCCAAACTGTCTGCTGCTGAACTCGCTTGGCCCTTCCCAGTCCCAGCAGTTCTGGAGCAGCCAGGCTGCAAGGAGAGGCGTTTGGCACGGGAAGCATGCTGCGCTGCCCTCTGATAAATGTGCGTGGGGGTGCATTTCCCAGGGCTGTGGTGTCCTCTAGTGTCCAGTGCTCAGCTGCCTGTGAGATATCCCTTGGATATTGCCACTCTGCTCTGGGAAAGGCGTGCTCCGGCGAGAGGGCAAGGCCTGGAGGCCTTGGCCTGCTAGGAGCCTGCGAGCGGAGCTGCGGGTGGCGGCCAGCAAAGAGCTGCGGTGAAAGAGGAAGCTTTGCGAGGCTGTCAGACGGGACATCTGTTGTCAGCAGCGAACTGGCCTTAAAATAAGCTTGCGGGGGGATGGGGCTGTCTGCAGAGGCATGCTCCATCTGCAGAGCCTGCGCTGGGCGTGAGGATCAGCATTAGGATCCGGGAAGCAATCTGTTTTGTTCTCGGTTTCCCTTGCGAACAGGACAAGCCCAGGCCTTAATGGCTGTAAATAAACAACTGGCAGCTCCTCCGGCGTGTTTATAGATAATCTCCGTTGATGCTTATTTCTTTTTCTCTATAATCGTTTTCATTTCAGGCCTTTGGAAATGCAAAAACCCTTAAGAATGACAACTCCAGCCGATTTGGGAAATACATGGATGTGCAGTTTGATTACAGGGTAACTTACCATCTGTTTTACACGTCAGAGCTGGTCCCAGTAGCAGCAGGTCTCTGTCCCCTGTGCTTTCTCCTACTGATGTGTGCGTGGAGCGATTGCTTGGCGCTCCCTCGCCGGCAGTGCCAGCAGTCTCTGACGGCAAAGTTTGCTTCCAGAGGGTTTTGTAGAACACACTTCCCTTTCCTTCTTCCCTCGTTTCTCTCTCTGAGGAGACAGTGAGATGAAATCCTCTTATTCCTGGGATATACATGTAAACGCGTGTGATCTGGAGATCATCTCTGTCCCGTGTAACTTTGCGTAGCGTTTGTTTCGATTCTGATCCGAATTCCCCCACGCCATGAGGATGGACACAGTGCAAGAACTGAGTAGCTCGGCGTGCTGCGGGCTGTTAAACGTCCCGACACATAATCCCTCCGCGCTCACAGTTCTGTGGCTTTTCCTTGGTGCTGGATTCCTCCTGGGAGGGAGTTTTACATGGGAAGCGATCTCATTCAGCACGTGCTGTAGCCGTGGTGTGTGCAATGGCCTGTTACTGTCACCTGACAGCTCATTTGCCCCATCCCTGGATGTCTGCCCCATCCCTGGAAGTGTCCAAGGCCAGGCTGGATGAGACTTGGAGCAACCTGGTCTGGTGGGGGGTGTCCCTGCCCATGGCAGGGGGTTTGGAAATAGATGATCTTTAAGGTCCCTTCCCACCCAAACCATTCTGTGATTCTATGATTTTGTACACACTCCAAAACTCACATTGCCACTGTTGTAGCGGAAATAGAGATTGTGACCCAAAACAGCCCATAATTTTCTACCTTTTGCATCCTATTTTGTATCCTAACTGTCTCTGAATAGACCACCAAGAAGCAGAAGTATTTTCCTCTGTGTTGAGGCGCTATCTCAGTGTATCTGGTTTCATTTAGGGGGCTCCTGTTGGGGGCCACATCTTGAACTACCTCCTGGAGAAATCCCGAGTAGTCCATCAGAATCATGGAGAGAGGAACTTCCACATTTTCTACCAGCTGCTAGAAGGAGGGGAGGAGGACTTACTTCGGAGGCTGGGCCTCGAGAAGAGCCCACAGCAGTATCACTATTTAGTAAAGGTGTGCATTGCCTGGTAATTCTGATAACACCCTTCTATTATAGGACCAACACATTCTCAGTTGATTCTGTAGTTCTTTTCCCTCATTTAAACACTGAGATGACACTTGGGATGACTTTTCCCAAGGGCAGGGAGTGACAGGACAAGGGGTAACGGGTTTAAACAGAAAGAGGGAGATGGAGATGGGACATCAGGAAGGAATCCTTCCCGGAGAGGGTGGGGAGCACTGGGACAGGTTGCCCAGAGAAGCTGTATCCCGGCCAGTGTCCAAGGCCGGGCTGGATGAGGCTTGGAGCAGCCTGGTCTGGTGGGGGGTGTCCCTGCCCATGGCAAGGGGTGGGACTGAGGGGGCTTTAAGGTCCCTTCCACCCAAACCATTCCATGATTCTATGAAAAGGAACATGGCGGAAGTGCACTGAGCATGAGTTAATATGTCTTCAACAGTTACTGATTTATTTCTGTCAAACTCTGTCTTTTTAGGGTCACTGTGCAAGGGTCAGTTCCATAAATGATAAAAATGATTGGAAGATTGTGCGAAGAGCCCTGTCCGTGATCGGCTTCAATGACAACGAGGTGGAGGTAAGCCACGCGTGACAGCACAGCTGATCCTCCCGCTCCTCAGGAATCGTTCTGCTCTGGGTTGTTACTGCTGACCAGAGGCAGCCTTCAGTGTGAATGGATCCTCTGCAGAAATCCTTAAAAAACCCAAACCAAAACATTCTCATGTTAACACAAAACTCTGCCTTTCCCACGTCCATGTCATCACCCTGGTTTCTGCCTGTTGCTTCCATCCCAGGACTTGCTGAGCATCGTGGCTAGCGTGCTGCATCTGGGGAACGTGCAGTTTGCTGCCGACGAGCAGGGCAGTGCTCAGGTCACTACAGAGAACCAGATCAAGTACCTGGCCAGGGTGAGTATCGCCAGCGAGAGGCAGAGTACCTGAAAGATGCATCGGGGGGTTTCCTTATCGTCAACTTGGTACCATCGTGTCATTTAGACCATGATTTAAAAATTTTCATAGATCTGCTTTTATTTGACCTGAAGACAATGCAATATTAACATCACACCCCTTTAACTGGCAACTTTTCTATTTACCACTTGATCCACCGCTGACTTGAGCTTTTTGCCTTCAGGCTGCGGGGCAGGAACAGACCTATTCTGGGGTTTTAGCAAACCAACCACCTCTGTGGCTTTGCTCATCCTGCCCAAACAAACCAGCCAACTCGTCTGTTAGGTCCTGGCGCTGCCGGAAAGGAGGTGGAGTGCGGGACGAAAGGGAGGGATTGGCGTTGCAAGAAGTCTTGCAGCGTGAATGGGAAAAGAAAGGGTTGTTTCACTGGGCTGTGCTTTTGAGGACCAGCTTTTCTGATTTCCTAAAACTGTTGCTGACCAAGCGAGCATCCTGCTCCGTCAGTTAAGTTCGTGTTCTGCTCTGCAGCTTCTGGCAGTCGAAGGCTCTGTTCTTCGAGACGCGTTGACCCACAAGAAGATCATAGCGAAAGGGGAAGAGGTAAGAGCATGAACTGGGGATCTGGGGGCACATGGAATTAAGTCAGGCTGGTGGTGCACCGTCGGCTCTCGCCAGAACGGAAGCGCTCGCTTCTCGCTGGTTGTCAGTGCCGGAGTCCCATAAGCTCATGGGCAGCGACACCTTCCACCAGACCAGGTTGCTCCAAGCCTCATCCAGCCTGGCCTTAGACACTCCCAGGGATGGGGCATCCACAGCTTCTCTGGGAACTGGACTGCTCAGTGGAATGGCCGCTGAATGGCTTTTTTTCTCCTCGGCGCAGTTGGTCAGTCCTCTGAACCTGGAGCAGGCAGCCTACGCACGGGACGCGCTTGCCAAGGCCATCTACGGGCGCACTTTCTCCTGGCTGGTGAACAAGGTTAACAAGTCTCTGGCGTACAAGGTAAGCGACCCTTCTGTTTGCTGCGGCACGAGGGGAAGTTGCAAACCTTTTAGCTACAAAGCACAGAAATGGGAAACTCCACCTGTGCAGCCAGTTCCAAGTTGGTTTGTTTGCCATTAAGAGGCGATAAGGAGGAGATGCTGTCACAAAGCGGGCAGGATCCCGTGATGGGGTGTAGCTGCGAGCGTCAACGTGTGGGTTTTGCCCTATTGCAGGAAGGAGAGTTCCCAGGCTGGAGAAGCACGACAGTTCTAGGATTGCTCGATATCTATGGATTTGAGGTTTTCCAGCACAACAGGTTTGTTGCCGTCGGTGTCTTTCGAATTTTGGGCAAACCCTGCATGACTTCGTTCGCTGTAGCGTCTCTCTCCGCTGTGAAGTAAGACGTTACTCCATCGCTGGCTCTCGTAGTAAGAGGTGACGTTTCAACTTGAGGAGGTCAGCGGGATAACTGGGAATCACAGGGCTTCTGACGCTTGGGAGATCCAGCTGGTATTTAGCTTTTCCCTCTGTTAACAGTCTGATATTTCAAAGAGTCTGTTGCCTTTTTGGGGCATATTCATGAACTCTACCTTTGTCCAGCGCTCTGGCGTGGCGCTGCCGGCTGTGAGATCCGCTAAGTAACGAACTTAATGAATGTGCACAATCAGTAGGTAAACACTTCCCGAAAGCTTCCCCTGACTAGGGAGATGTATTCATGTTGCTGCCCACTAATTCTGGCTTCTTTTCCTTGTGGTACAGTGTTGGTGATAATTTTTCTGATTTTTGTTTGCAGCTTTGAGCAATTTTGTATTAATTATTGTAATGAAAAATTGCAGCAGCTCTTCATAGAGCTCACGTTAAAGTCAGAGCAAGAGGAGTACGAGTCAGAAGGCATAGCGGTAAGAGCCACCATCCTCACTTCACTGTCTCCTTTGTCGCACCTCCTGCGGGCCAGAGGCCAGATAAGAAAGGAGCTGCCAATTGTGGTGTTTCCAAAGTAAGGAGTTGCAGAACTCTCCCTTTTCCTTTTGTTTGGAAACACTCTGGTAACTCTGTGTGATACAGCTAGAAGTGAGTACGGCTGTTCCAGTCTTTTACGCTGATTAAAAGCACGTGTTTTAGAGGGAACGTAAGGAAGGTCGGAGGAGCGAGGGAGCTTGTCTCTGACGGGACAGCTGATGTACACAAGGCGCTGCCTGAGACATTTGTAATTTGTCGCGTTTTTTTCCTGTCTAGAGTTGTTCTCACCCAAGTGTGGTTTCTTGTCTTCACAGTGGGAACCAGTTCAGTATTTCAATAACAAAATCATTTGCGACTTGGTGGAAGAGAAATTCAAAGGCATCATTTCTATTCTGGTGAGCTGAAGCACCTTTTTAATTGAAATTAATTGAATTGGGGCAGTGTAGTAGAAAACCAGGGGAAGAACACAATAAAAATGGTCTAAGCTTGTATTAGGATGATCTGGGCAGGTGGGAAGAGCTATGATGCACTGGACAGTCATACTGGGTCACCTCCATCTGCTCAGGGAACAAGCTTCCGATGCAGGCGGGCTGCAGGGAGGGGAGTGTTTTCTTTTTCAGCTCAGCGGTTCTTCGTTCATTGAAGTAGGGGGTGGCCTGGCTGTTGGAGGGGCAAAGGGGCGGGCTGGGAGGGTGTTTCAGTGGGGTGGGACTCCAGCTCCCCGCTGACAAGCACAGTAAGAACTTGGTACCAGAGTGCCTGTCCCCGTAGGATGAAGAGTGTCTGAGACCGGGGGGTGCCACCGATATGACATTCTTGGAGAAACTGGAGGAAACGGTGAAGAACCACCCTCACTTTCTCACGTAAGTGTTCCCATAGCTGGGGGCAGTTCGGCTGGTCGGACCCGAGCTGTGACAGAGCCTTGAGCTTCAGTCATTCCTCGACACCCTTATCACTCGCTGTGTGTACCGCAGCAGCAGCCGAGCGATCCCGGCTCCCACGTGTTTCCTTTGCGAACGAACAGCTTGCGAGTTGAGGTGACACAGAATCAGGTGCCAACACCAACCGCCTTCCTCCTCCTCAACCTGAGCAGCCACGCTTGGCCTACTGGCTTGCCTCTTCACCCATCTCTTCCCACCATCCTGCTGCTAATGTGTCCAAGGAATTCAGAGGCTTGCAGCCTCCTGGCTCTCCCGAGATCTGGCCCAGTACTTGGGTGTCACAAGCTCTCCGGTTTGGAGTGTAGGCCGGATTGTTCCTCCGCCCTGCTGGCTGCCGGGGGAAGGTGGCTGGGGACTCTGTAGTAACTCGGACAGGGAGCAGAGTTTTACTGGTAAAAACAGCGTCAGAGGGGGATGTGCGTGGGGTGGATTTGGGCAGCGTTAGCCCTTTGGAAAGGGAGAGGTTGATACTGCGCTGCGTCACCTTCCCAGGCGATGCCGATAGCCTCCCCTGGATCTAGTAACCTGTCCCTGTGCCCGTCCCTCCAGGTTGTGGGGTGCGAGTTGCGCGTCTCACCTTTCAGACTGCTCGCCTGGGAGCTCTGAATGTCTTTTTATTCTTGCTGGCTCTGCCTGTGCTCGGCTGGGGGTTGGTACAGCAGCTGACAAGTATTCCAGCCTGCTGCAGGCATCTCCACTGCGCCTGCTGCCGCTGCTCTGGCTTCATGTGCTCGCAGAACCGCTC